ACTGCTCCCTCGCTCCTTCTATCATGTGAGAACACAGCCAGAAGACAGCGTCTATGAACCAGGAAGCAGGCCTTCAGCAGAAACCAAATCTGCCAGAGCCTGATCTTGGACTTCCCAACCTCCAGAACTTGACGTCAATTTCTGTTGTTTATTAGCCACCTAGTCTACGGCATTCTGTTACCGCAGCCCAATGAATATGGCAAAATCTGTTCTGCTGAGTGCCAATCGTCAGACAGGCCTGGAGGCTTCCAGCACTGAAGAGGCAAGTTCATACACCTCAGCAGCAAAGGAAAGTTTGCTCGTGAAAAGGCTCCAATCAGGAAGATCTAAGAGAGAGAGCTTATTGAAACCCTCATCCCCTAAGCTTACAGATAGTACAGCTGCATGAGAAAGGGTCTAGATGCTTATTATCTTCCATTAGGTAACCCTACAGCAGGGTATGCCGTTTACCTTCATTTACTATCACTTATAATTTCTGCCAAAAGTGGCTGATGCATTTCTTTACCTTCTTAAACAGAATTTACGCGCTACCATTTACTCTCTCTTGATAAAATCACAGTCATGTTTTTGATGTACAAGCTGTACAGCCATGGAAACGTGTCTGCAGGGGTCCTCCCATGTGCAGCGCTGCCTGCCCTGCCATAGCATGGCTCCAGGCTGCTATGCTTTTCACTCCTCATCTTTTTTTTCTAATAGTTTATCTCTCCCCTCCCTTGTTGTCAAGCTGTCAGTCAGCTGTCACTTTTTACTGCTGTCAGTGAGCCTGCCTTTATCGCACCCCCAATTTGCTGCTGCTAATCTGCTGTCAGCTGAAAAATCAGACCATCAAGGCCTCTGAAATTGCATTTGCAATCAGTGGTGTGCTGAGCACTGGATGAAGATTTTGAGATATGAGTTCTAGTTCCTGCTCCGTCTTTATCTGGCTGTGTGATTACCAGCAGACACTTAACTTCTCTGGGCCTTGGTGCCTTCCTCCACAAAACAGAAGCAGTGTGTGTGTGTGTGTGTGTGTGTGTGTGTGTGTGTGTGTGTGTGTGTTGAGAGAGAGAGAGAGACAGAGACACAGAAGCAGTAAGAGAACTAATCCTGACTTGGATCCTAAGTGTCTCTGGCTACCAGAAACGATTTATGCAACTTTTCTGTGAGTCAGAATACAGGGTGGGTATGACTAACACTTGAACTGAAAAATTCAAGGATACATTGTAGTCATCACTTTATTTGACCTCACTCCCCTGACTTCACTAGTGACCACCTCCTTAAAACACTCTTCCCTTTGTTCCACAAGATAATTCTCTCACTATTGACCTCCTGACCCCTTTATCTTTTTTCTCATTTCAGTCCTTGGCTCTTCCTCTACCAACCCCTTAAGTATTAAGAGTGCCAAAGGCCAGTCCAAATGTAAAGGACAGGGTAATGATAAGAAACCAACAACAAGTCTGAAAAGCAGCAACCTATGTGTCCTAGAAGCCAAGGAAAGGATGTGTCAACTGCTGCTGATATTCTAAAGCAAATGAGGACTGAGAACTGACCACAGGAAGCAGAGGCATGGAAGTCACAGGTGACCTTGACAAAAACAGCTTCAGTGAAGCAGCTTTAAGAGGGAACAGGAGGAATTAAATTAGAAACAACAAGTAGAAACAACTCTTCCAAGTTTTGCTCTGGAGAGAAAGGAAAGGATGAGGAGGTAGCAGAAAGGAGAAGTGCATCAAGAGAGAATTTGTAAAAAGCTGTAAAACCGAATGGCATTTCTTTTTGTATGCTAATAGGAATGATCCAGAAGAAAGGAAAACTGAGGATGCAGAATAGAGAAGGAAAACTTGATAGAACAACAGTCCTTAGGGATGGGAGAAGGATGGGCTCTGGCAAAGAATCAGACAGGAGGATGGACCTCAGACAGAAGCAGGGTCAGTTCACCCACAGTGACAGGTGTGAAGATGGAGATTTTGTGCCCAGACGCACACAACTGCGTGGGTGGGGTGGTGGCAGGGCACAGAAATTCCCATCTGATTGCTTCATTGCTCCTATTTTCTCAGTCATGATCTGTGCAGGAAGGTAGAAGCTCTGGTATCAGTAGTTAGTTACAAAGAAAGGAAAATGCATGATTCGTTACTTAAAAGAGGGCAAATGTGGTAGGCTTGCCAGGCAGATCAAAGGTTCCATCTGAATTTAGGAGTCAGGAATTTAGAGCAGACTAGTAAATAGGGCTGGGTGTCTCCTCCTAATGCAATACAAAGGAAAAGGCGCAGAAGATTTGAGAGTATATGTAGGAGAGTGAGTATTACAGTAGAATATGGAAATTAGGCTAGAGAAAAAAGGAGGAAAATTAGGGCCAGAGAAGAATGAAAGGAAGGAGCTGGCTCAGCCGATGATGGCAGGTTCTGGTAAGGTCAAAAGACTGAGTCAGAGTCAGAGTGACAAAGATAATAAATAAATTAATCTTTTTATTTACACTAGGCTGTTCCTTTGTCAGGGTACCCCTCCCTCTCTCTCTTTCCCTCTCTTTTTTAATGCCTCTCTATTTGTATGTGTTGACTAATAAAGGGAGAAGACGACTATCCTTTCTGTTCAGGTGACAATAAATGTGCTGGGTTATAAAACAATGGGATGGGGTGTTAAATAAGATGACATCATCTTTATTAGGAGTCTATTATATGCCAGGCACTATGCTAGGCATTTGGCATTCATTTAGTCACTACATCATACCTATGAGGCGACAAAGTAAAAATAATCATACCCATTAAAGAACCTGAGCTCAGGGTCACTTCACTTACATAGGTCACAGAGCTCGTCAGGTGGTCAAGACTCAAATACCTGTAGGTATGACTCCAACATTTAAGAGATTTCTCATCCCCAAATGTTTAATACATGTTATAAAATACTTTCAAGTAAATATTCTTTCTTTACACTGTTGTCCTAGTCTTTGAGATGAAGCAGAGGGTGAGGAGGACACAGCAGGGAGCAGGAGGTGCCACAAGCCAAATATTACTGAATTCCTATATGACAGGCTCTGAGTTTTAACAGTTATCAGTGTTATAAGCCTCCATATTTTGCTGAAATACAGCTTTTTCCCTTCCCTGATTAATACCCATTATTATATATTAGTACAGCACATTGTATTAATAATTTAATTGCACCTTCTGCTTTGTTTTTATTTAAACCCATTTTCTCCATGACCAAATAATAGTTGTATAGGAAGAGAGATATAAGCATTCAAAAATTGTGTGCGGTTTTTGTTTTTTTTAATCACATTGGTTATTTTGCCTTTGGAATTGCTAAGTATTTTTCAACATCTCAACAAAATAATACTCTTTTAAGACTGCAGGCATTAGAATGATTGTCATTCATGCAAATAATCACTTACTTACACTATATGAGTTTGGGTTGGATAAAGCAAATTACCATTTGAAAATAATTCAAATAACACTCTGGGCTAAGACCTTGCTTATGAATGTTATCTTGGCCACAGTATTTCTTAACCTTCTTCCATTTAGCTAGATGTATTTATGGTAATACAGTCCAAATTAATAAACTATTCAATTGCCACAGGTGTATTAAACATATGATGATGGAGGAATATATCATATGCAAATGAATTAAAAATATTATTTATTTAGAATCTTGTAGCAGTAATAATTAAGATGTAATAATTAACCACCTATTCACCTTAAAGATGTACATTTTGACTGTATTATATTAAAAACTTAAAAACATGTCAAAAATAAAGTTCATATTTTAAAAATATGACTTAGAGTAATAAGCTGTGTTCGAGCTAACCACGGATCTGAAGTATAACAACTATATTTTTCAAAAGTTGAAATTCTCTCATCACACATTAGAAAACTGTATAGAAAACTGAATCAAAATTCAGAATCTAAACTTTAATCCAGTCTGTAAGAGTAACCAGCTGTGTGAGTGCAAGAAACCTCTGCTCCTCTGGGTCTGTTTCCTGAACTCCGGAAAGTAAGGAGTGGGCAAGGTGTGCTAACTTAAATCTCATGACTCACCCACTTGCCTTGGCATTAGGCAGATTTTTCTTCCATTAAATATTCACTAGTATGATACTCAAATAAACCAGCATTAGGGGTGTGGATGTGGACAAGAGTCTCCACAGCATAATCTGGGCAAACTCAGTAAGTCCAGAACACAGAGAGTAATGCTGATCTCCTGCAGTGCACGTATGGACACTAAATTGTTTCCTGCCTTCGTTTCAAGGATAGGGAAGAGACAGCTGTCCCTGAACTCTTTTTAAGGACATAGTCACTTACAAAACAGCAGCATCCCCAGCTAGTGTGAGTCTCTCTGAAGCAAACTTACTATTCACCAGGGAGAAATACTTCTGGTGGTAGTAAAAACAATTTTGCTAGGTTTAATCAAAAGTGAAAAGGAATTCTAAAATGTTCCCTTTGAGCCACATCATCCGTTGCTAATTCAGGGCGGGCCTAGCAACAAGGGTAATAAAAAATGTCCTTAGTAACTGAGAAAGAGACATGGCAATTAAGTGCATTAGTGACCCAACAAAGAATACCCATCTCTTTATTAGGATAATATAAATAATATTTTTTAAATGGAAGGAAAAAAGTAGAAGAAAATAGCATGAAAAATGAAAGTAATCCAAGCAGTAAAATTTAATACTGATTTACTTAGAACAGTTACTATTATACATTTAAATCAATGGGCATACACTGAATGCAGAGGTTGAAAACTATGCTTGACAATGACTTCTTTAAGAAAACAACAAATAAAGAACCAAAAACAGTTAGTGTTAAAAGTCAAAATAGCTTGCTGTAGCAAACAAATAAATAAGAGAAAAGAAAGGAAGAACCATTCCGTGATAAGTTGGACAAATGATTATTTAAAATCTTTGTAAATCACAGCATGGTGAAATAGAACTCGATTCTCTAATTAACCATGCTTATGCTGAGAAGTTAAAATTGGCAAGAAGAACACCGATTTCTATACGGTTGGGGAATAATTTGACAAACAGAGTCAAACATACTGACCTGCTCACATCAGGAAACCTGATGGGAAAGTAAATTACTTGGCACTTGGGTCTGATGATGCTTTCCAGATCCTTGGGTCTGTGATCAGGAATCAGCTTCATAAATTTTCCAATAGAAGTGAGAAAGGACTCCATATTAAAAAGCGAGTTGAATACCACCACATCCGCCACCAGGCTGCACAGGGAAAGGATAATACAAATGAGGAGCCCATCCAAGTTCATACTGCATCCTGGGTTTGCAAAAATCTCTGCACTTCCATAAGTATTTATCAAAATACCTCTAACGGATAAGTTAGCTCCATCACATTTTACCATGGGAAGTTAGATTGCTGGCATCAGGGAGGAAAGGCAGGAGAGGAATTAAATGACTTAATATTATCCTGTGAGGCCTCAAACCCAAGTATGTTTTTCTACAATGTCAGGAACTTCCTATATTATCAACAACAGTAAGTCCAGTAAGACCTTTTCTTTGTGGCCAAGCACTCATGTTAGATTTCTATGTCAGCGATATATGTTGTTTTACACCATATTACTGAGAATAGAATATTTGCCGTATTTTTCACTACCTTCAAGGGGACCAATTCAGATGCAGCTGTTTCATACTAGAACATACCTTCAAAAACACATGGTTAAAGTGTCTATTTCTTGTTTTAACTCTTGCTTCAAGAAACAGGTTTTTTAAAGTTCTAGGGCTATAGAGGAGGGATTATATGGGATCTCTACAATTAACTTATTTCACTATGATGTTTGGAATAGTCAGAGAAGTAGAAGAAATTGGTAGAAATGTTTACATAAGCAGCGGTGGGGGACGTCCAGCCCGACGGCTGCACAAGGAGCACATGAGGGGCCACATCGGGCCCGTGAAATCAATACCAGCTGACATCACACGCCTCACCAAATTAGCCTGACCAAATAGAGCAGGCTAATTTTTAAGTTGATAATTTTGTATTGCCTACGAAACAGGTTATAAATATCCAAATGGTCCTTGGCAGAAAAAAGGTTCCCCACCCCTGAAGGAATGCATTATAAAGAACCACAATACCGTGGACTTTCAGAATTACACAATATAATATTGGCTACTGCTTTAGATGAAAAGACTGTGCTCCTCCCCATTATATTTTTTAAAATATAAAACAATCTGAAATACATAGTCATAAGGCAATTTGAAAACAACGTTTGTGTGTGATAAATACATCAGCAATTTTCAGAACTGCCTATAACATTTCCTTGGAAACCAACGAACACATATGATAACCATGGCTGATTATTGGTTATCATGGTTGGATAAAACATAAATACAGGGTGGGGTGAAAGTAGGTTTACAACTGTGAGTACACAAAACACAGAGTTGATATTCCTGCACTGTTGTATTATTTTCCATACAAACTACTGTAAGCCCACTTTTGCCCCAACCTGAATGTAGTATAAATATGTACTGTGTTCCCTTTATGAATCAAAATACTGATTTAATAGATCAATGTTTTAATTGTTTTTAATGGTTCTCTTTGCTTTCAGCTAGGGGTTTTCCAATGTGCCACAAGCATTTAAAAACATATAATACCTTACTGTTTAGTCAGGGCACTGACCTCTTTTACCTTCAGTGGTTCTCTACCTTCCTGACGCCACGACCCTTTAATATAGTTCCTCATGTTGTGGTGAGCCCCCAACCATAAAATTATTTTTGTTGCTACTTCATAACTGTAATTTTGCTGCTGTTATGTCTTAGGCGACCCCTGTGAAAGGGCCGTTCTACCCCCAAAGGGGTCGCGACCCACAGGTTGAGAACCGCTGCCTTAGACTGTCAAATAAAAAAAAGACAATAGCCAACACAACAATAGCAGTTTGTTATGAATGAATCAAAAGTATATATATATATATATATATATATATATTTTTTTTTTTTGGCAGATTGGAAAAAAATAATATATTTTTGGGGTGCCGCAGAATTTTAGTGATTAGTTCATGTGTCCTGGAGATGAAAAAGGCTGAAAACTGCTGCCATGCAATATGTCAGTGTCTCAGTGTCCCTGGAGCTCAATAAAATGCATATAAATGCTTTGATAAGAAGAGATACAGGATCCAAAAAAAAAAACCAGTTTTATTTCCCCTTGAAAAGGATAGATCAAGTCCTGGCAGGTTTGGTTCAGCAGTTAGAGCGTTGGCCTGCGGTCCAGAGAGACCCGGGTTCGGTTCCCACTAGGGGCATGTACCTCGGTTGCAGTTTGTCCCCGGCCCTGGTTGGTCGTGCGGGTGGCAGCCACTCGATGTGTCCCTTTCACGGCAATGTTTCTCTCTCTCTCTTCCTCTCTCGCCCTCCCACTCTATCTGAACAAAAAATAGAAAAATGTCCTCGGGTGAGGATAAAAAAAAAAAAAATGATTGATCAAGAAAGCTAGCCGTGGCCAGTTTTGCTCAGCGGTTAGAGCATCGGCCTACAGACCAGATAGCCCTGGGTTCGGTTCCCGCTAGGGGCACATACCAAAAAAGAAGGAAAAAATAAAAAGAAAGCTGAGAGAAGATATGTAAGTTCATAGCCTGCAAAACACAGATGAATAGACAGGAATACATACCAGGGCAAATCCTCAGTTTAGTCTAATTCATATTCACTGAGACATCTCAAGTTCCTATTCTTAATACACAGCAGAATAAAAAACCAACAAAAAGAATGTTGACCTGCCACCCCTATGCCTGCCCCACAAAATTGCTATTCCATACAAGTATTTTTTTTTTTAGTTGTGACCTAGTGCCAATTTGGGGCTAGGGGTGATTACCACACAGCTAATACAAAAGAATGTCACAGAAGTGCTGACACAACCCCAAGCAATGAGGAAGCCAATATAATAATATACCAAAAGTTGAAGGATGTTTTACAGCTAGTCTGTTTTCACCATATGTCACATATTGTAATAGCGACCCACAGGTCATAATATATAGTTACGACATGTGTTCATAAGTCAGGGGGTTAGTGAAACCTCTATTTAAGGTGAGTGCTTATGTCAGTCATCTCTAACGTCCTTAACTGCCACACGGTCAAGGAAGAAATCTACTAGTGCCAACAAAAGCAGAAGTCAGCAAGAAAACTAAAGAAACATTTGAGGAAGCAGGAGTCATACTTTTCAAAGAGAATCTGAACAGGATTGCTTTTTGACACTCTTATTTTTCCTCGGGACAAATGTGAACCATTTTTTTCTCATTAACAAGCCAACCGGTGATCAAGTCCACTTCTTTCTCTCCAAGCTTGTCTAACAGTTTACCCTTTTGAGAACAGCAATGCTGAAAAATCATGTACGGGTTTTTATAGTCTCATTCCCTATGCGCAAAAGCAATCTTTTATGAAAGAGAGAGATGAGGGGCAGTAAGCTTAATGTTTTTTCCCCAAATATTTGCATACAGCCCAACTACTTACATTCTTAAAAACCCAGTCCATGCTAAATTAAAGATCCAAGATAGTTTGCAAAAATACTCTTTTTCATGCATTTCCTCCTGATATGAGTGAGTGTAACTTCCATTAACTTTAAAGCCACCCATAAAGGGAAAAATAGGCTTAATTTTTTTCCCCCAGTTATTTCTCAAGGGTAATAAACACACACTATCTGAGGAAAAGAATGATGCTAATTCAAGAAATCAAAAGAATATTACAAATGTTTTCCATATTGATAAAGCACAAAATGATTTTATTTTTGTTTTCAAAACATATTTCCCTTCTCCGTTTCAATAAAAAATAAAGTATTTTAATTTTATTATGAAATTTTAAAATGGTTGCTTTTTTATGAGACATTTGATGTGCGGCAGTTCCACTCTATTTTGATAGCGCTGCTTCTTCACAACCGAAGCAGCTTGTAAACATGATTGCAAAAAAACACTTACAAAGTGCTCAAAACGCAGAAGTTTTACCATATAGCTGCTTCCCTATGTCAACTAAACTACAGAATAGACTTGCAAGAATCAGGAGTCTCTTTACACATATCATCAATCCCAGTTGCTAATAACTCTTTAAAAGGGTGAGTAAAAAGTAGCCAATCATGGCCAACGTAGTCCGCTTGATTGTTGCGCTTATGTGAAAAGGATCCAATCGCAAAGCTGGTTCAGAGTTGGTGTTAACTTCTTTCATTAACTAAGCTTCAGGAGATTCACTTTGTTGAAGTCACAATAGAAAAGGACCGTCACCTTTGAAATGTCATGGTATTTTAAGGCTATGCAATTTCAGAAGACTCAATGAGGGGAAAAAAAATTCCAACAACTACCTAAAGATTCATTTTCCCTAGTTTTCTCTTACAAACAATAAAAAAGAACAAAAGCCCCTTGCTCCATTATGCCTTATTTTTTGTTTATTCCTCTGAAAATTTATATTTTGATTTCAAGTGGATTCATTGAAAGTAGTTGGCAAATAAGAGCAAATGACTGACCTTTTTTAAAAGTATGCCTTAAACAACAGACGACAGAACCAAGGGGTGCAGAAGGTCCCTGTGAACCCTTTGATTCCAATGCAAAAGATTGGAGAAAACAGATAATTAGTTCAACATATAATTAGATTGTTACATATATGTATTATACAAAAGGATTAGCTGTGGTCTTATACATATACTGCAGAGGCACAAGTAATTTCTTGCATGGAAGGTATGTTTAAACATTTGTGCACCATCCTTAAGGTGTTTTAAAATAAGTGTACAATAGGTTTCTAGATTTAAAGCTAAACATCTATAAAGAAAAAAGTCGAAAGGACTAAATGCAATGATACAATTGATACCTACCATGAGAGAATTTGGTTGTATCCATATTGGAAATCCCTCTCCTGACATTTCTTGACAGGATATACCAATTGGTTCTCGTGGAAGTACAGAATCTTTTTCAATTTCCCAAGGTCAGGCCGAAGAGCAGCCAGTTCAGTCAGGTTAAGCACTGAGCTTGCAAAGAGGATCCTAGGAAATAAGGAAGTGAGGGTTTACTGTCCCGAGCACGCTGGAAGGAGGTCATCCTTTGCCCTTCTTCCCTCTCACCTCATCCTCCCCCAGAAACACATGTGCCCCATAGGGACACACCGATAGTTAAGAATTAATACCATGCAGCAGCATTCCAAGTTTTGATCTCTGAAAAAGCAGCTGCTAAGAACTATAAAAGCTCCGAATCTCATTGGTCTTCTCAGCTCAGTTACTGAGAGATGCAAACAAAAAAAAAAAAGCTGGATGGATTTTATTGAAAAAGGCAAGAAAAGCTCTATCTGAAGGACAAATGGAACAAAGATAAGGCTGACTGGGGAATACTTTGCTTGCCAGTTTCATTACACTTTACTTCTTTATGCAACCAACTACCGAAATTCAATATACAAGCAGGAAAGGCACATGCTCATGTTATGACACAAACCCTTTTGATTTAAGCAGTAGACTTATCTAGTGTGGTCTTTTTCTCTTGGCATGTTTTCTCACTGTGCCTCCCCCTTTTTCTTAACTATTCTGTAATATTTCTGTTTCTTTCTTAATGCTTTTTTTTCCTCTCCGCTACTGAATGGGTAATGGCATCAGATATACAATCTGTAAACCTCTTATATGAAACATAAATGTTTAAAAATATGAAGAAAGGCTGATTGATTCCTTTTCTTTGGGGAGGAGGGAGGAAGCTGAAAGCTTACCTATCCATGTTTATCACTGAAAGTGTCTATTAACTTACTCATTCCACAGACATTGACTAAATGCCTATTATGTGCTAGGGTCCAACCAGGAAGAACAGAAAAGATGAACAAGACTGCCGCCGGTAATAGTGGCGTATATAAAGTGTTAAAGGAACAAACAGAAAGGAGTAATAACTGTCTGGAACAACCAGGAAATGTTTCACTAAAGAGGTGCCTACCACGTACGGACACAAGCAGTACAAATTACAGTCCCTGAGCAGCTGAGTACCTTTAGATAGCACAATTTTGATGGAATGCCACCTTTATAACATAATGCAGCATCATTTGACCCTTACAGCTTTAACTCCCATTCTAAAAAATGAGGTTCAAGAAGGTTAAGAGTTGTTCCTAGGATCACACTGGTAGAAAGTGGCAAAGCGGGGACTCCTGGTCTTCTAAGCCCGAAATGCTTTCCATTATGCCAGGAACATGAATTGGTCATGGACGACTTACATTGCAAATGCATTTTCTGTACTTAATAAATACAAAATATCATCCTTTGTTATTACCATGATTACAACTACTATAAATTCTCCCTTGCTGACAAGCCAATGGCTAACTTCAGGTGTTTATATGATCTGCAGCACCAGCCTTTCACAGAAGAAGAATGATTACAAATGAGTGCATATATCATAAATAGGAATTCAAGTATCTTCTTCATGGACTAAAAAAGGCACATACGATCAAAAAACCTGCATGGCTGTATTAATGTCATGGTTTGTTGCTTTAAAGTTAAAAAAAAAAACTTACTAAGGAGACGCATTATTGCTTAAATTGTCAATATGTCCCCAACTAAAGCAAATAGAAAAACTATGGTCAGAAAATGCCCTATTTTAACCAAAAATACTCCCACTATAACCAAGGATAAGTCTTTCAAGAATTTAGATTGAAAATTCTGATATATGAAGATATTTGCTTATCTACAAATCTTATCCTTAGGAGAGAGAACAAGAAAACATTGATCTCTGTCAATAAATATTTTTCTTAAAAGAAAGTGTGTGGTCACTTATGGGTCTACTTGTCGGGTAATTCTCTCTCTCTCTCCCTCTATCCCCACTGCCTACCCCCAATACACACACTATTGCAAGCAATGGCTCATTCTTAATCATTAAGACCTGAGCAAGTTCAATGTTTTTCACATACAAGGCAGAACAATTCATTAAATGTAGCTCCTCCCTTGTTAATTATTAATTACAAAGGAAAAATAGTACCTTTATAATGGAGAAGTTTGGTAGACATGAACTTACCCAAGTGATCAAACTAAATATGACCAATCATGGGACAAAGCGATATCATGTATTTCCCAGTATGAAACACTGAGAAAGATACAAATCACCAAAGAAAAATATACTAATCTGCCAAAAATGCCTGATCTGAATTTGGTCATGAGAAAACAATCAGATACATTATTGCAAAATAACTGGGCTGGATCTCCAAGCAGGTCAATGTCATTAAAGAAATTTTTTTTAAATGTAGATTAAAGGAAAATAAAGAAACCCCAAAACAAAATGCTACTTGGATACTGAGTAGGGGGAAAACAGCTATACCAGACATTATAGGGACAACTGGGAAACTCTGAATATGGGCTAAATATAAGACTGTAAATTTTCATCAGTCTTACATTTCTTAAATTTAATAATTTTATTGAATTTATATAGGTTATCTTTATTTTTTGGATATACCTGTTAAATTATTTATGTGTGAAGTTACATGATATCTGCAACTAATTGTTAAATTGTTCAGTCAAAAATCTAGTAATAATAAATATTCATATGTATATATTTACATAGAGAAATAAAAAATGTGTAAATGTTAGCAATTAAGTTATTGGTATATTGTAATTCATTGATCTAGTCTTGCAAATTTTAAAGTTAGACATTATAAAACTACAATTTGGGGGGAATATGCACAACTTGGCCATAAGTAGAAGGGATAACTACTCTATGTGCCCTAAACAACAAACCCATCATATATGTACTTCGTTATAACCCAATTGTTCCTTTCCCACGTGAGAATTATCTTCAGAGTGGACCATCTGTAGAAAATGTCTAACCAAGGTGAGCCCTTCATCTACTCCTACCACACACCTCCTCTCTTTATCCTACCTACCAGCTGACCCATAATCAAGGCATCCGAATCTAATATTGAGCCTTTCAAACAAAACTCCCAAATAAAACAGTACAATATATTCAGAAGTGAAATGGCGATGATCATATTAACTACTTGGGACTGCCCATACCAACATTTCCTTTTGTTTGTTCAATCGTTAACAGGAAATCCATTATATTTTTATTACTAATCTTGAAGTAGTCCTCATACTCCTAAATTGTGGATATTATTGCTATCATTAGTAAAAGATTTCTCTTTGCTTATTTACTTGTGCAATGGTAAACTGGACAATAAGCAACTCCTCAAATATTTTGCTCAGTAACTCCCCAAAATAAGTAATGAATATGCCCACAAAAGGAACGCAGGTATGACTGATAGGCAATTTTTATTTTGCTTCCTTCCATCAATTAAAAAAAAAAGTTTATAATAATACAATGAATGACATCACTGAGTCAGCAGCTAATCCCTAGGCTCCCGATGTTCATCTTGCCTCAGGTGTTATTTAAGCAATAAATCCTAACAAGGTGAGCTTTATCATCCCACACTGTGTCTGGCAGGAAAGGGCACAAGGTGATAGCGAAAACCACTAGGAACAAGGTAATTCCTGACAGCTGCTGCCTGAGCACAAGTTAAATTGAACAGTTTATCTCAGCATGAAGATGTTATAAGGTTTTATGTTTAATATTTTTAAATTAACATAAAAACCAGAGAAAGCATTTGGGCAATCTTTCACAAACATGACATACTACAATCACTGCATAAGCTGGATTAGTCCTTATTACCACGCTACTACGGGATTAAGCTGTTTTTAGACCACCAAAGAGCTTTAAATTGCAACTTTTGTCTCTGTAAAAGAAACCTATATTTAAAATGTCTGCTAAATTCAAATTAACGGCTACATCATTAAGCTACCATCTCACCCAAAGTATCAGTAAGCTGCTACTACAGTCGTCTAACCCAAATGGTTCTCTGCTGCAAGCTTATCAACACCTTTCTGTGTACCGGGGGTTGTATCCACACACGTTCCCATTGTCTTCAATGCACTAGCTACACTCAGCATCATACTTGCTTAAGGAATACAGTTATTCGACACAGTGAAATTCAACATTACAGATGACATTCTTTTCTTGCTCAGTTTGAACAAACTAGTTGTTTGCCCTTCACCTCATTCCCTTAATATGCAAAAAGAGATGCTGAAATACACTTAAGCAATAGAGGAGCGAGGCCATTATCAAGATGCATATTTTTGTATCTTAAAGGCAGTGAAATGAGAAACCGAGGACAGGAATCCAGTATTCTGACCAGCTACATACAATCCAGTGACACTCCTTCACAGACTAGGTTATCTATCTCACTCCAGCCCCATAAAATCTTTTCAACAGCCCCCTACCCCCTCACCCCCAACCACTTATAACAAACCAAGATACAGTGCACAGTGTAACACAGATACTGGCCGGGGCTGCTACTTGTATTAAATAATTTCTGCAGGGCTTCCGTAGGCCTTGGACAAAAGAGTGAATTCCACTCTTTCTGCTGTGTGGCTTCGCTCAATACCTAAACCCTTGTCTAGACTCACGATGCTCAGCCCCACTACCAAAGCCTTTTCCTTCTGATGCCTACCTTAAGTTCCTGTTCCTTGATAGTCACCCTCCAGGAATGTGGATCCTGTGCTTTCTGTGATGTGGTATTTTCTACGATGTTGGAAATGTTCTATATCTGTACTGTCTAACACAGTAGCGGCGAGCTACATATAGCTACTCAGCACTTGACATGTAGCTAGCACAACTGAGGAACTCAATTTTCATTTGGATTCAATTTGATTAATTTAAGTGTAAGTTAAATAGCCACACCAGAATGACTACTGTGTAGGAAGGCACAGCTCTGATGGCCCAGCCTAACTTAAGCCCACACTGTACCGATGGTACCTGAACACATGTCCTCATTTAATTGATTCTCTTATACAGATCCTTGACCTGACTCTAATAATCTAATTTCTAAGCTCCTCTTGACTACCTGTATTTCATCCACCCGGCTCTCCAATTCCAGAATGAAACTATTTTTTTTTTTCCTTCTGGTAATTAGAAAACACATGTTCATTACAGAAATGTTTTAAGTACCAAAAATATAAATTAATGGAATATCACCCACAACCACCCCAGAAAGAGCCACTATTTGCATTCCAGTGATTGCTCAGCCAATATATGTTGAGCATCATTATTTGCAAGGTACTAGGCAAATGATGGACAGAAAGTAGAAAACAAAATAGCTAATGCAAGTAGAAAACTGACAGGTTGAGGAACTAAATAAAGACCAACGAGGCTGGAACAACCTGTTCAAGGAGAAAATGGCCAGAGAAGAGGCTGAGGAAACCAACAGACCTTTGTAAGACATGAAAATCATTTTGGATGTCATGGTAACAACAATGGATACAAACTGAAGGATTTTAACTAGGAAAAAATACAGAAGTATATATGTATTATGAATGCATTTTTTTATTACTTTTTAATATCAGATCATTTTACTCTCACTATCAATGGAAATCAGACCGTGAGGAATCATTTGGAGGAAGGAAGAACAGGAAGGAGAAGAGAAAGGATGGTGGCTTGGACTAAGCGACAGCGCTGGGGTGATGGGAGGTGGCCCGACTGGGTTTGCTGACAGCACTGTCGGGTTTGCAGATGAACTAGCCACGAGCAGTGCTGGCCTCTCCTTCACTTCATCATTCCGAAGTGCGGAGACAGTGTTTCAAGATAACAGCAGCTCAATAATACATACAGGCATAAATGAATATTACTCCCAAACATTTCAAAAGCCTTTGGCTTAAATATATTTTTTAATTTGTAAAACTTGCATAGAAAGATAACTGAATTCTAATAGTCATTAGTCACTGATCTACACATTTCATTGTAGCGTAATATGCTTTAGTTGTCAGCTACTTCATTTTAATTACAACGTTTTTACTGCATGTTTAAATCTTATGGATTTTCAAAAACTTTCAAGAATACTACATAACAAAATGTTTCCATTTGTTAAAACAACTAAAAATACAAGATGAAAGTCTTATTGAAAAGAAAAGGAAATGTCGTCATTTAATTTCCTAGGTTCTTGCCCAGCCGGTGTGGCTCAGTGGTTGAGCATTGACCTATGCACTAAGAGGTCACCGGTTCGATTCCCAGTCAGGGTACACGCCCAGGTTGTGGGCCAGGTCCCCAGTGAGTGGCATGCAGGAGGTAGTTAATCGATGTTCTCTTTCATCGATGTTTCTATCATCTCTCCCACTCTCTCTAAAATCAATAAAGGAAAAAAAAAATTAATTTCTTAGGTTCTTGTGATGTGTAATTTACAGGCTGTTAAAAAAGAGCATCCAGGGTCCGGCCGGTGTGGCTCAGTGGTTGAGCATCGACCCATGCACTAAGAGGTTGCCAGTTTGATTCCCAGTCAGGACACATGCCCAGGTTGTGGGCCAAATCCCCAGTGAGTGACATGCAGGAGGCAGCCAATTGATGTTCTCTCTCATGGATGTTTCTATCTCTCTCCCTCTCCCTTCCTCTCTCTCTAAGATCAATAAAGGAAAAAAAAAAATTAAAAAAAAGAGTATCCAGGTTCCCAAAAGCCGTCCCACGGTGTAGCATCAATTAATCAGGCAGTTTTGCCTTTTTTCACCATGTAATGTTCCTTTCCAGTGTCTACCATGATGGCCAGGAGAGCACGGGGTCAGGAACACCTGCACAGAAGACATGGGATCGAGGTCTGCAGGTAGCCCTGCCACTGAACAATATCTCCAACTGGCTTAACATCTGTCCACTCGGCAGCCGTAAGCTGTCCGACCCGTTTCAGGGGTGCCTACGGAGACAAATGACATCATACCTGTTGGAGCTTTGCTAAAGGTGTCGCTTAAACTTAGGCATCTCAAATTACTCCAGCAACCTCTCAAGTCTTTTAAAGCCTGGTTTCTGGCATAATGCCTAATCCATAAAAGACACTCGATAATTATGCTTGTAACAACAAAGGATGAAATAGGAAGGAAGGGTGGGCCTAAGTATTGAAAAGAAATCTATAAACAAATTGAAAATGTTTACTGTGTACACTTAAACATTTTTGACGTATTCTGAAACTAGAACTCATTATTAGGAGTATTCTTACAAGACACAAGGGAATATGAACCACTCAAAATATACTTAAGTCTGTTTTATGTTTTAGACATTCTATCAATAAGTCAACAAATCAAAATATTGTCAAAATTCTTAACTTGATAATAGAAGAAGTACAAGATATCATCTCTTTTGCAAAAGAGTTGACCATATAATTGTAAAATAAGCCCAAAATACAGGAAACATTAAATAACAAAAAAAAGATAAGTATCATCCAAGCAGAGTCGCAAAGCACTACAAGCTGGCTGAGAATGAGGGGAGGAGCTGGCCAGTCAGTTCAGAGGAAGAATACAGAAGTCGGAGCCCAGAAAAACTAGGACGCCTCAAGTTTACTGAGGGGAGCAGAAGCCTGCATCCTGAGGTCTTGGGTCTGGAAGCATCAGTACTACTTAAACAAGTCAGGGAGAAGAAACAGTTTAGCTAAAGTTTAGGGTTTGAAAAAAAAAAATAATCAGATAACTGGAAAATTGGTCTTTCATCAGAACCGAGGTACCCAAATGCAGAGTAAGAAGTTTGAAAACTTTGGACTTCATCTGTTAGCAATATGGGGTTCCACTGTACATTTATTATTGTACTAACAATGCTTTATTTCTTATCCTTAATTAAATGAGTTGTGAAAGATCACTGGCTAAGAATAAATGGTAGTTAATTGAAATAATGAGACTCAAATAAAATACCATCATCACTGCCACTTTCAACATAAGGGAGGTTGCTCTATACATATCCAAATACAGATAAAACCAGTTCATTTAAAACCATGGCTCTGTTATCACTTTGTGATAATGAAGTCCTGAAGTCACCATAATGTGATAATACTCTAAAGGAAGAGAGGGAACCATGTACTGTGCAAGTTTCTTGTTTTGTTTTTTAATATATCATCTCATTTAACCATTGCCTTAAGAGATGTGTCTTATTATCCGCATCTTACCAGTTAATTAAAATACAAGAGGTCCATTTAGATACTGAGACGAGCAGTTACTACGAGGCAGAGATGAGTTTCAAATCCATGTTGACCTAGCCCGAAAGCCTCTACTTTTTCAGTTATTCCACACTGATTTTAGATAATCTAAGATTAGAATGTGACTTGATATTTTCTGTTAACTATACTTCTTATTATAGTCTGTGTTGGAGAAATAATATAAATGGCATAAAGGAGAACTATACTAACCTGAACGGTTTATTCCATCCCTTCATTCGTCTCATATGTACTGAGTGACTATACGGTTAGACAAATTCTGGAAAGGTAATGGCCATCGGGGAGGCATCTTCTGAAGAGATGCAATCTAGGCAGCATCCTAAATAACACGAAGGAGTTAGCCTACTGAAATAACAGGATGTAGGTGGTCAGGGCAGAGGGATGGAGAGAAGTGGGCTGATAGTAGAGCAATGAAGGACACAGACGTGTCTGACTTGGTTACTGGGAGAGAGAGGGTGAGCATGTCTCAGAGGTTCCCAGCTCATGCAATGACGCAATTAGTGGTAACATTCCTGAAAGAGGAGAAAACAAGCCCTGGCCAGTTTGGCTCAGCGGGTGAGCGTCGACCTGCAGATCAGAGAGTCCCAGGTTCGGTTCCCGCTAGGGGCAAGTACCACACACACACACACACACACACACACAAAAAGAAGAGAAAACAAATCGGGTTGGATTAGAGGGAAAATAAAGAGACAGTTTTCACAAAAGCTGAATATAATGAAGTACCACTAGATAAGGATAACAGATAACAGACTAATGAAAGATACTGCATTAGAGATTTTTTTAAGGAAGTTCTTTTTATTTTAATCCTCACCCAAGTATATGCTTTTATTAATTTTTAGAGAGGCAGGGAGAGAGAAAAAAGCATCAATATGGGAAACATCGATCTGTTGCCTCCCAAACCAGGGATCGAACCCTCAACCTAGGTATGTGCCCTGACCGAGAATCCACGCTCCAACCACCAACTCACCTGACCAGGGCCATGAGATTTAATTCATCTAAAATGCCTGGTCACCAAATGTGTCAGGTAAAAATGTGGGTTCTGGTGTGTTATGTAAATTTGTATATCTGTTCAACACGTTTCTCTAGTTTCACGTTATCTTGTTTTCTCCCATTAAGGTATATATTCCTTGATGCAATATAGTAGATCTGCTGTTGTTTTTAGTATCTAATAGTTTCCTTAACATGGCAGTCCCCACTCTAGATTGAAGTTTTCTTAGAGTGAGCCCTATAGTGTCCTTATTCATTATCCTATCCCAGGTGTTCAATAAATGTTTTCAAATAAGCAAATAGATGAATGAGTGAATGAGTCAATCATTCATTCCCTCAATGATACTGAGAAAATAAAACTGGTGATTCTCTGTTTATAGTAATCTTCAATATGATATTTAGTTCTACCATTAAAAAACAAGTTGGACAACATCTCATGACCCCCAAAGAACACACTTAACCTTCCTACCTGAGCACCCACCACAACTGTAGGGAGCGTTATCTGACGTCATTTTTGTTCAAGCTCACTACTTTTCCCTTATGATCCGTCTTAACATGCCAGACACTATTTTCTGCTTCACAATCCTAACATTTCAAGTACTTAAGATATCACCCAGAGATAAGGAACTCCTGGACAAAAGTAGTGTCAGCCTGGTACAGAAATCAGGAATATATGTTGTCATAACAATTTCTGTCATCTTCAGGGATTTATCATTGTCAGCCTTGAAGGAGTAAGTCAATTAACATGCAAAAGGCATGTAACTTGCTGAGTGTGCTGGGAAGACTTCATATGGTGTTTTATCTCCATAAACTTATATAATTAGTATGTGAAATATTTATAATTCATCTCATGATTAATCTATCAGAGAAGACTATTCCTTAACAGCAGCATATCAGCTTATATTGGAATGTTCTTCGCCCTTTCGTTCATGCCACTCATGAGTCCCTAGAGTTTATTTCTAAACATTAGAAAGTTGGAAGACCAGAGATCCAAGGCAATGGATAGAAATCTTATCGTTACTCCAACTCAGCCCTGCCAATACTAAGATTATACACATTGAAGGACACACTGATCAGTCAGGACAGGAAACTGTTGCTCAGACAGATGCAGGAAGCCCAGGTCAAGCACAAGCCTAAGAAACCAACCACAGGCTAGAGTGGCTGTAGGTATCGTCATTACTTAGGCTTCAATATCAGGACAACAGGACTAGTTAAAATAATCACAAGAGTAACAATATTATCCTGCCTCCTGGTATATCAACTAAACTATTCCTGACAACCATGGAAGGAAAGGTATTTTGTGCCTCAATAATGAATAAGCTAACATGGCAAATATGGTAAGTTGCTATTTTTACTGAGTCACATCTATTTCTAAAATTAACAAGCGTACATAAAATGCCTCCTAAATATTCCATCTTTCTGTAATCAGTGGTAAGATCTAAATTTTGGGGTATTTATGGGTATTTGTTCAAAATTGGCTTCCCAGAATCCTGTATGCTATTGAGTTGTTCTATCATTTGATTTGTGGCATTCTGTTATGCTTCTCATAGAGATTATTCCTGTGTTTTTATTACTTTGCTCGGTTAGTTTTGACAAGTCCAAAACAGTTCCTTGAAATCTTCCTTGAATTTGATGCTTAATATGCCATTTGGAGAAATACACCCCCCCAAATCAATGTATTTAGTATCTCCAATGTATTGCTATTTTACACATCACTTTAATTATATGGATATCACTAATAATTAATTACAAAAGTTAAAACCAGCAGAGTGTAAGTACCCAGTAGGCACTCAAAAAGTGCTTGGGAGAGTGCACTATTAAATAAAGTAGTACATCTACAATCGAAAATGAATTAGAAGATATGAGTCCCAGGACTGTGTCCTGGTCTTTTACACTTTTATTTTAAAGACGAGACTTTTTATAAACATTGATTTCTTTATCATCAAACCAACAATGTAAAAATTCTAGCATTATGTTTCCCAGTCTATGTCACAGAGGGGGGAACATTTGAAAGCTAGTTTTTCAAAGATCAAAACTTCCTATTTAAAAAAAAAAAATTCCTATACTAATAGCATCAAATGAAAAACTTGATGCCCTGATGGGTTTGGCTCAGCGGTTAGAGAATTGGCCCGCAGACCAGGGAGTCGCAGGTTCGATCCTGGTCAAGGGCATGTAGCTCAGTTTCGATTTGATCCCCGGCTCTGGTTGAGGTCGTGAGGGAGGCAACCAATCCATGTCTCTCTCACATGGATGTTTATCCCTCTCTCTCTCTCCCCCCTCTCTCCCTCCCTCCCTCCCACTCTATCTGAAGATAAATGAAAAAATATCCTAGTGTGAGGATTAAAAAAAAATGAAATTTTCTATGTGGCTAAGATTGATAAATTAAAAAACACTGTATATTTTAAATATGGTTCCCTTGATCACAACGTAAATAACTGCCCTCTTTTTTTCTCCCTTAAAGTAACACATACATAGGTACAGGAGGGGTAAGCAGATGAAAAGTAAAATTATATAAACAATAGTGTTGAAGGTCACTCAACATAACCTATATGACACAATAACCTTCCAAGATGCATTTTTCTCAGTCTCGCCTACCACACTGCACTGTACATGGGACTCATCCAATATTACAGCCAGCAGGAACTTAACACCTCCTCGGCCACACTTCCTCAGTGGCGACTAAGGAGCACAAAATGAAGGAACCTGCCCGGGTCAGCCAGTCAGAGGCCAGGCCGGGACCACTGTAGAGTTATTTACAGACAGGAAGTCACAGGTGTTGGGGCAACTGCCTCCTAATTTCAATAGTGGGAACAGCTTCAAGTTAGATATTGGGATAAACATATACTCCATTTAAAAGAGGAGAAGAAAAATAAAAAAACCACTGAAAAATAAAAAACAGTCAGAAAAACTTTCTTTGATCATGTTTCACACTTCCACAAAATATAGACAAAAATGCTTCACTGTGGATAGAAACAGGCACTAGAGACTCGCTAAGATATCCGAGTCCCAATGTTATCTGAATTTCATTGCCTACATCTTAGGGTCACATAAAAGCCATCCCGAGCTGCTCGCTGTCATGCAAGACGTCTACACAGACGGCACAGCACGGCAGCATCTCCCTGAGCCTGTCCTTCCCTGGGCCTTCCCTCCCCTAGTACACAGCAGTGGGCGGAGCATCAGGGAATGCCAGGAGAGACGCAGGCAGAGAACGCAGACCTGCCTGTGGAAACCCGGAAAAGCTGTCAAGGAAAAAACACTGGACATTAAAAGATGAGAACTTCCAATTCAGTGTGTGTTAAGAGTAGGAACTGGAAAGGGGGTAGATCATGAGTTTCTATTAATACTGCAGAAGAAAAGCCAATACACAGGACCAGAAATATCCACATTTTATATCTTTATATTAATATTATATATATATACAGTTATATTTAAGTATATAAACACACACTTAGATATAGATGTAGACATAGCTGTAGATAGATATAGAGAGATAATGCTACATTAGATAAGGGATAAAAAGATAAGCTACACTTGACATCTTGCTTCTCAACTTTGCATTAGCAATTGAGATATAAACAAAGAGCTGAAGTTCTATAAGAGTGAACATATAATATTTTAAATAACTTTGTTTTAATCCCCATAGCATATATACTGCTAGTCTGACACACTGCTAGGGTGATGATCACATCACAAATGAATTTCAGAATAAAATGCTCCCTTACTCAGTTCCCAATATTAAATATACTCAGATGGGACATTCTAATAACTTTCTTGCACTAACTCCTTGTCTTGACAAACACTTTCAAAGAAATGTTAGTATCTCACCGCTCCATAGGAAAGTAACAAGGCGAGATTCTCCCAAGAATATTCCAACAGTCTTTGAAAAACTCAGACTGTCACAAAACCCGAGCATCTGGCAACTCTGCCTTCGTGAAGTATCCATATGGAAGAGACCAAAAGGTGTCCAAGCACCCAAAACGATTTTGGATAGTGCGGAAGATAGCATAAATAATTCAGTATCGTCAACACTTTCAACAGCAGGTAGTGGATACGGTACCTGCTCCAGAACGTGCCAGGATGTGCATACGTGTGTGGGCCCGTGAGAGACAGAAAGGCAGAGAGAATGAGAGTATACACGTGCCTAGAAACTATTTTTATATAGAAATATTCCTTAGGCAGTTCTCCCTGTAGGGACATCGGATCTCTGTAAGTACAGGTTTACAGATATACAGAAGAAAAAAATGAAGTCAATAAAAACTTACTTTTAAGATAAATATAGCAACAAATATATTACTTCAGAGTCACTGAGAAAAACTGCATTAACTTAAC